AATATTTTTTTTTGTTCTTAAATGAGAATGTATATATCGTTAACTTTTCTTTTTCTTTTTTCTTGAAATTTCTTTAATACTGGTACGGACGAAGAAGAAAAAGAAAAGAAAAATCTTCGTACACCAGCTCACCGTCTTGTCCGTACCAGTATTAAAGAAATTTCAAGAAAAAAGAAAAAGAAAAGTTAACGATATATACAGGGTGTCCGGAAAGCCATTGACCAAAAGTTTTTTCATATATTTTTGCTATTTCATTTAACTTTATTAACAAATTCTTTTTAAATCATAGGCGAATGTACCGAGTTTTTATTTATCCGAGCGACTTTCAATACTACTCTGCAAAACTATTACCTTTGATCGGCATACGAAAATGTCGCTATCTTTGTGAGATACGAGTAATTTAAAATGGGATGATGGTTTTTTCTTTGCTATTTTCATATTGTTAGATAGAGCTCATCGAGTTCCACAAGAATATGTATGTTGAAAATTTTTTACACCTTTTTTGAAGCAAAATTTTCAGAAAGCTACTACAGAAAGTCTAAATAGTTAAAGAAAAAAAATGCTGCTTAATGTTTTTCTGGAAACACAGAAATAGCAAATTTTTTTGTATTTCGATCAAAAGTGATCGTTTTGCAGAGTAGTATCGAAAGTCGCTCGGATAAATAAAAACTCGGTGCATTCGCCTATAATTTTAAAAAAAATTGTTAATAAAGTTAAATGAAATAGCAAAAATATATGAAAAAACTTTTGGTCAATGACTTTCCGGACACCCTGTATAAAGATAAGATAATAATATTTATTACCATATGTCTTTCGTCAGGAATAAATTTTATCATTGCTTTCTTCAAGCTCGCCTCTTCAACGATAAAGTAACCTGTATAAGAAGAGGACTTCTGCTGCATTTTCGGCGATTCGTGACTTTTCTAACATTTCAATTCAACGACTAGGCACAATTAAGTCTAAAATGCAGCATCAGATAGGTGACCGATCTGAAGAGAGGGAATCCAGAAGTTGTATATCAGAGGCAAGTGAACATGTGTAGTTGGAGGAGTGACGGTCTTAGTGTTGATGACGGCGAAGAGAATATTCGCAATCGCAGCTCGGCAACGATTCCATAGTCACACTCACACCAGTGGATGTGAGTGAAGGTGCTAGTCTTAACTCAACTTATACCAGCACCTAGATCCTCATAGTCACAGCTATACGCAATCAGAACAAGACTTGATGTCTCTGTTTCAATCATTCATTCGAATGCACAAAGTTGTCTAAAAATTCCTCATAGCTTTTGAGGAGACGAATGTCAATTGATTCTTTTGCGAAAGCCGAACATCATCTTGACATGGTTTTTTAAAATTTAAAGAATGAAAACTGCGTTCAAATTAAAATATATTCTATTTTTAAGCTTCAATGTCGCTTTCCATGATATACTTCTAACGAGTATTTTATTTTTATCATTTTATTTCAAAATAGCAGTACTCGAATTCATGCTAGTAAGTTACTTGAAATATGAATCCAATATGCTGCGTATTCAGATACCCATATCTGTTACAATTTTTCATTTTCCATATTTCTTCATTTGTCTACAGTAAGAGATGTATCTCTGAGAATTTTAGACAGGCATAAATAAGTATCAATCAAAGTTTTCAGGCATCTTTGTAGTTAATTTACGTACCTTTCAGTGAATCATGACTAGCCCATTGTGATTTAGTGGTTATATCGCACTTCGGTACTCAGAATAAAATTGTTTTAGCTCTATAACAGCATAGCTATTTTGAATCGAATTTGGATCATATACAGTCAGGATATGGATTTACGAAAGCGGAAATTTTCGACTCATAAAGCCTTCACTTTTGTAGGTTATGCAGTTCGTAGTGGAACAAAATCGCTCATATCGTTACTTTGCTGTATGCAGTCGAATAGCGACCCGGTTATGTAAGCATCATATATGATTCATACGGTTGTAAATGCAGTAAACGAACAGAATGAAGAAACATACGACGTTCGCGGGACTCTAACCCATATCTCCTGCTATATGGGCGAATGTCCTAAGCCAATTAAACCAGAAAGCGTATCTTAATCTCGGTTTAGCGTCACACGTATCATTATTGACGCTAACAGATTTTTGTTGTTGATATAGATTTATTGGGTGGAATGTGAATGTGAGCAAGAGTTAAGAAAAGAGTTACATTGACGTTGGTCCGTTCAAGAAAGAACATGAGAGAAATAAAAAATTAAAAGTGAATGATATATTTGTTTACCTTAAATGGCTTGAGAGAGAAAAACTACAGTAGTGTAGTGAATGAATTGAATGCTGAATCAGTTTTGTAGAACTCACATATTTTTCGCGGGACATGTTGAATCCCAGTTTAAGGGTAAGTTTTTGTGACTTTCTACTCCTGCTAGGCCTCTCCGCATTAAGGTCGTAGCAATTGAGAATAAGAGGCATCACATTTTCTAAGTTTTCTTTCAAAATTTATTAAGCTATAATTTTGAAAAGTAATAAGTATTGCTATTTGTAAGTTGATTAAGCCCTCCCTCCTGAGAAAAGTCAATTTTCCGAAACAAACTCGATTTTGAGATCTATATATATTTTGATAACCGTTGTAATGAATTACGACCTGGCATAATTTGTTTTGCCAAAATGTCTGCATTGGCCTTTTTTTTCTGACGCATTTTTGTTATAAGGATGTGGTACTGACTTGAGTCATAAAGGATGTTTCATAATAACTGAGAATACAGTGTTAATGATATTTTTCATACTTTTATTTAATCGACAAAGCTGAAAGTTTTATGACATACAGAACTAGTCAAGATCTTCTAGTTCTCAAAGTTTCAGCTCTCTAGCTATGGCTAACGGGTAAATAGATCGATCAAATTGAAATACATAAGTTTTCATATTCGATTTTTGCCTCATTTTTCAACAAAATCGACTATGAAAACTTATGCGTTTTACTGTTAGTCATAATTAGAGAACTGAAATTTTCACAACTAAAAGATTTTGTTTAATTCTGTATGTCATAAAAACTTCGGCTCTCTTGGTCGAACTAACGAATGAAAATATTGTTTACGAAAAAGTTGATAAAAATGAATGTGATCTGAAGGTCAATCTATGTATGAGGAACTATAACCATAATTTAGACATGATATGTACTTCTAACCGTATTATGATATATCCAAATACATGCCATCGATAAAGCTTGAGGAATAGTGTGAAAATATTAGGTAAATAAGCAGACTTATTTCGAATAAAGACACGTAATGCATCAAAAACCTTTGTTTTTCGTTTTTCTCAAAATCACTTTTTTCGAGCATTCCATTTACGCCGGGTGTGCGTGTGGGTGGGTGCGGCATTTTCCTTATCTACATCCACATCCACATCCACACCCATCCATACCCACACCCACACCAACACCCACACATCCACATCCACACCCACCCACACACCCACCCACATCCTAGCCACACCCACCCACACCCACACCCACATACACCCACACCCATCCACACCCACACTCCACCCACACCCGCGCCACACCCCACACCCACACCCACACCCCCACCCACATCCTAGCCACACTCACCCACATCCACACCCACACCCACACCCACACCCACCCACACCCATCCACTCCCACACTCCACCCACACCCACGCCACACCCCACACCCACACCCACAACTACACCCACACCCACACCCACTCCCCCACACCCACACCCCCACACCCACACTCACTCCCCCACACCCACACCCACACCCACACCACACTCACACCCACACCCACACCCTTATTTTAATTGAATTATCTTAATGAAAAAATTGTTAGCAATTGTAGAGGATGATCTTCTCTATCAGTCTATGAAAGAATTACTAACTAATGTCATATAATTAATAAAAAAAGTTAATTTTAATTGTTCAGTAAAAAATACATGGATTTATCCAATTTCTCGGTCCTCCTAACATGTTTATCCAATTGCCCTGGTGGGGTAATAGGAAAACATGTGCTGGGGCAATTGGAAAACAGGTAGGAAATACGTACCTGTAACTCGAATCTATATCAATCTTATATAGAGGTAGATAGTATATTAGTCACTCTATTTGCATGTCAAATATCGTAGAAAAGTATTCAGATATAAAAAAGTTATAGCGAAAGCGAAAAAAATGATTGAAAACATATATCCAATTGCCCCACATTACTCTATAGATATATAGATATTTAATAAACAATATAATAGTCTGGGCTTGTCGATGTCTCTTTTACATACATAGTATATTCTCATTCAAGACAAGTAACTTCAGTCACATGGATAGATTAGGACAATAGAAAAATGAAACATATCAGTTACGTTAATAAATGTGACTCCGTGGAAAAAATTTTATGTATACGATAAAGAAAATACCAAGATAAAAATGCTTTTCTTATACCTTGATTAGACAATATCTTAGTAGTTAAATAGTAATGTTCAAAGATTATTATAACAGTGATGATTTTTCACACAATTGTTCCAAGACATCTTCATCCATTCATGTCAGACCATCCTATTTATTTTTTATGTGAATCTAATAGAGAAAGAATCATTAGAAAGCAACATGCAGAGAAAACACTAGAAAAACGAATTAAAAAGAACAGAAAATGTTCTAAGATAAATGAGTTTTCCCTGTGATTTGTTAAGTCGGCAAATTATAACACCAAAACATGTGTGACACAATTTCGATAATCTGCAGAAATATGTGTCAGTCAATCTCTCTAGTGGCTTAAGCTTTTCTCCTTTTTTTTATTCTGTGTATTTGTCATGATGATATTTTTCTATCTTTCTGATTTTTACCTTTCAACTTTGGTATCCACTATTGTATTGAATAAAAAAAGAAAAAGAAACTGATGTCATGAGATTTTCTATCGTTCTGTCAACGTGGCAAAGATGTGTCATGAAAATGAGTAATATGACATGCTTCTTACTTGTATAAATATTCACAAAAACATACATTAGAAAATTTTTAAAGATGACAAAGAATGAGCACAATTTTATAATTGATGGACAGACATGTCATTTTCATGATGAAACTATTAACGGCATATTTGGCGGTCACTTTCATACATATGATAATTTCTATGTATCATCTCAACATTCATCACGAAAGATACATGTTTTCGTACCGATTGATTATTTGACAAATACTGCACAGAAACGATATCCTGTTATTTATATGAATGATGGACACACATCGTTTTGGAATGGAGGATTATCAAATAAATCTTGGAGAGTAATTTATTAAAAAAATTTGTCTTTTCAATTTATATTTTTATATTCAGGTTGGAGAAACATTATCAAAAATTTATGAAACAGATCAAACAAAACAAGTGATTGTTGTTGCCATTCATCCGCTTGATCGCAATCGAGAATATACACATTCACATTGGATGTGGTAAGTTAATTTTAAAATATAGAAAATCCTTACAGCTTAAATATTCTATTTTGGACTTTCAATATAGGAAATATACTTATGGTGGAGTGGATGATTACAATAACTATATTGTAAATCATGTAAAACCATTTATCGACAAAAACTATCGTACATTAGCTGGAGCTAAATATACAGTAATTGTCGGTATGATATTAATGATTAATTAATATATAATAATCATAATTTTGCAGGTTCTAGTCATGGAGGTTTGGCAGCATTTCATATGGCTCTATCTCATCCGACAATATTTGGTATTGCTATCTGTATGTCACCATCATTTTGGGCTGGACTCGACTGGTTAATTGGATCAAGTATAACAAACCTTTGTTGTCCGCTTGAAAAATCACCTTTAATTCAAGTAAAGTTTTTTTTTGAAGTGTATTTAAATGATAGCTGCAGGTTTATTTATAGAAATACGATCATGTTCTACGATCAGATAATGCTCCATTACTGTATATTGATTGGGGTTTATCAAAAGATTGGCACGTTCATAATTTCATTATTGGTAATATCCAGAGCTGGGCAAGTGCGAGTACGGTTTTGGTGATACTCGTAGTCGAGAGTTAAATTCTCTAGATTTTATAAACATAGCACGCTGAGTTTGATGATACCATAAATCCAGTCATCAGTCCATCCATAACAGCAATCGTTTTAATAAGTTTATTTCTATCATAGCATTTTCTTTGTATAAATTTATTATTATTTTTGCTATAGATGGGCTCTCTCTACTATACCTTGCTCTCCATTTTTTGTGTTTGAAACTCAATGAGGCAGTTTCACCAATTTAGAACTTCAGCTTTTCTGACTGATTGTTACTGAATCTCGTATAGTAGAATTAAAATTTCTAGAAAAATTAAATGATAAATCTTGTCACCTTGAAACTTCGGAGTTTAATGTATAGTAGTCTTACAAGCAGACCAGTTTCCGTCTTAGCACTGCTAAATCCGCATTATGCTAGTAGATCAGGTTATACAGAATTGATCAATCTACAGTGTTCGGAACGATACATTCCTAAATTTGTTTAATGACGTAAAACGTGAATGGAAGTGGGGTGATACCATCCACAAACATGATGTCATGTTTCGACAGCTGGACAGTGTGCTGCTGGAGGAAAAGTTCTTAGAAGATCCTATACTGAAGTTTAATTTTCTTCGCATTTTTGAATAGTTGTCGCTTCACAACACAGGTTTTCTCAATACTTTTTTATTGGATAACTTTTTCACTTATTTTTGCCGTTCAAGACAAACTTTTTCCATTTCTCCATATAATATATAGTAGAGAATCTTCTCAATCACATGTCCATATTCTAAAACCACAAGCATAAATGTAACATGAATATGTAGATCCCTCCTGTAATTCTGAGAAACGAGTTACCATTTTCGAATCATATGATTTTTGAGCCTACTTTTTCTACACTTTAAAAGCATGCTGCTTCTGTTGGCATGTCTTCTACAGCAAATAATGAATTAACTAATGTAATATGGCTATTCAGCTGTCAATTGTGGAGTTACCAAAGTGAAAAACCTTCAGAGACGGACGTTTTTGAGAGAGACACTTGATGAAAGAGCGATAGGCAAGGAGTTTTATCCACTTTTACATGTGGGAATCAGGAACCTCACTGTATTTGATTGATTTATCCTTAAAGTACTCGAGAAAACCCGTGCTTGCCCAGCTCTGATTGGTAAATTAATTGTAAAAAAAAAACTATTTTTGTTATTTTTAAACTTTAGAACGTCTGGCTGCTAGTCGATCGAGTGAAATGGTCAAATTGTTGACAAAAACATATGATTATAAACATATTTCTGTGGAATCAAATGACGATATTAATAATACCGAGAAACTTTTATTGACATTCATCGATCCGCACGGTGAACATGACGAAATATGCTGGGAGAAACGATTTTTCACTATTGTTCAGTTTCTTTTTAATCAAATCTGGAAATAAAATTAAATCATTTCACATATGTTTCTTTTGACATTCAAAAGACAAAAATGCTTTTGTACTTGATTCTACCATTAATAGGGTATGGGTGTGGGTGTTAATGTTCTCTTCAGCCACACCCTATTGTTGATAGAAAACAAATTCATTTTAATTATAATATCGACATCGATTACTCGAAAAGCATGCTTGATATTTTTGTTCGAATTCATTAATACTATTGAATTCAAGTTCGTTTTTAACGAACATTTTACTATAGTACTCAAATAAATTTTGTTACATATTATACTTTGAATTCAATTTTAGATAAAATTTCTTCAATAATTTCTCGATATGTAGTTACATCTTGAGAACAATCAAACACTTATTTGATGGTCTGATCATTGCTTAAATAATCAATTGTTATTGCTTTTTTTTTCTTATATGTAATTGGTTAAATAAATGTTGTTAATTTAAGATGATTGGAAAAGGATTGCTCATGGGCAAGTGAGAACAATGTGTCATTTGATAAGATCTTGGGGTTATATAAAAAATTTATTTACTATCAATCTCTATTTTTTAGAATGAAAGGAGGGGGGCGGGTTTGCACGTAAAACGGCCCTAAAT